AATGTTTTTACTTTGATCATTGTTTGAGGCTTTAATGGCATACACCAATAATTCTCAGAATGTAGATTCGGGCAATTTTTGTGTTTGTTGTTTACCTCCTCTTGAAATGATGGACGAGGAACGAAGGTTAAGGTTGCCAATCACTCCTGAAGTATGCATATTCCCGCCATGCCTATAAGGAATTTGCTGAACTCAAGCGAATCCAATGCATTTCAACGTTGAAGTTACAAATTTCATACGGTTCATCTCTCGAAACATCGATTCTCTCATTTTCCTCACAACTCACGAGGATGTCCTATAAACTCTTTGCATTTTTTTTTTTCGTTCGTAAAGCAAAATATTCATCTTCATTGTGTGCACGAGGTCGTTCTTCTCAACTGAAAGAATGTTTGTTTACCTGTTTTAAATGAGAGAACAATAGTGAGTTCGAATACCATTTCCTTTTTCGATTTCACCCCACACATAAGAAATTACAGACTACGTAATTAATTACTGATTTGGTTATGTCATATATCATTCTATTATTTGGACTTACGTAATTTGTCATGTCATTCTCGACGTTTCGATGACGTACGGGTTGTCAAATTTGGGACCATTCGAATTGTGGCTTATGGCTGATTAACCACAAATTTGGCATCGCAACGCCACTCCTTATATAAATGATGATACTGGGGTGTACTAATTTCCATTGTTTAGAATATGATAGGATCAATTTTGTGCCACTATTTATGGTAAAGTTCGGACATCACCATTCCATGCAGCTATTTGGCTGTGCAAATTAATGCTAGGCAAACCTTAACCTACGAATATTCCATTTAGTAAAACCATTCACGTCCGATATTAGAAACATTTTCATAGGTGAAGGACGCATTAAGTAAAATTCCAATTGTTTGCAAACTGGAATGACTAGCATTGAAAGTTGAGGCTATTATTCTTCTTGTTTTGTCGGATTAGCCTAAATAGGATCATGACAGACTTTAATATAACTTCACCATCCACATCGCTCACAAGTCCATATCCGGACATGCGAAACATGGGTTAAATGTGTGATGTACTTTTCATCATCATGATGGTGGAGTTTAACCCTCGGAGAACAATACGCATTTTTTAAAGGGAAATTCCTTTTAAGGAATCTTCGCAATCACGATTCTCGTATATCAATTAATTAAATAAAGACCGGTGTGATTCCTTCAATTCTTTATTTTACAAGGTCAATCAAAGACGCACAATAGAGATTTTCAAATCCCTTGTGTACGCGTAGTGGGATATGTGCTGTAATCGTGGTTGGAGTGATCCAATGTGCTATTCTCGGATATCTTAAAGACCTTGGTAATGAAGTGATCCAAAACACTTTGCCGTATATTCTCAATAGGTTTAAAGTAAGTTAACGCCGAACAATAGTAATCGGAATTGATATTGTTTTGTCATAAAAGAATCTTTTTTAAAAAAGTAAAGGTGTCCTCTTCAAAGCATGATTTTCCACGTCCAATGATTAATTTGGATTTTAAGGAGGTCGTGAAGGTGCCTTTCAGTTGCAGCCTTATTAGTTCAATTGATTTTACCGTCTTAATCGAGACAACGCTTCTTTACTCGCGTAATGAATCACTCGATAAAGTCAATAAGAGGATAAAATAGAGGCGCACAGAATGCTACGTCTCATCGATCCACGCACCTCAAAGTGAACAATACGTGTAAATTTCTCTCACACAACTGAACCTACCCACAAAGGTAATAAAGAATAGAGGATTGATTGATTTAATGAATGAACAAATAAATACAAGTGAATGGATAATGAAAAATGAAAAACCAGTAATTGATTCGAATTACAAGCTATCTATCTTCATTCAATTCCAAAATAAATAAACGAAAAAATTTTGACGCTTCCGTTGTCCAGGCACCATGCAAACAATTTACGAGAATGAGTGAACACGCGGATTCCACATTTCCATAATTACCCATTGTTTATATTTAAAATACCTTGCATGAATGCAGTGTTAAATTGCTGAGAAGGATTTACCTTGCCTTTACACATATTCCCAACGACAAAAGTTACAAAACGTCAGAATGGAATGTAGACTTCCTCATTAATCGGACGCCTTGTGTTCCTTTAACGTCAAGTGTTTACTATTTCTTTGATCGGTGTGATTTCTATCCATCAATCCTTCCATTACTCCATTTAGAAAAAGGCGTATTTTAGTCCCTTATCCAAGAAAACTTTGAGTGATTTCTATTGTTCTGCGGAGCGTCCATCCGATGTTCATGTGCAGGAGGACGTCCCTTAAATTACTCGTGAACTAATTGCACACGACCGTTCTGCCTTCACTTACCACTTTTGTATTGAACGACTCCTCTCTACGCCCTCCTTTTAGACCATACATACGTGTGAAAAAACGCGTTCATTGTGCTCAGCCCGTACGCAATATCAAACTTCTCCTTGTTAACTCGATTTAGATATCTTTACTCATTCCAGCTAGTCGCACGTGTGGCCTGCCAATACTTGATTTCAGCATCTGTAATGTTATTTTCCAAAAGTAAACAGGCTTCATTGGCAAAAATTAACATTGTGTCAATAACATGAACATCTTGATGTTTTAGCAGATGACTCGGGAAACTTTATGCATCTAATTAATTCGTTGCGTCACGACATCCGCGTCAACTTTCTTTGATAATGCCCGACGTGAGTAAACCATGAGGATGAGATCGGAGAAAAACAGATTCGCCATAAAAAAGATTAATTAATCGGGTTTATTGTGCAACGTAATAGTCGCATGCATGGCCTACTTTTGTATCGGAGTTGTTTATAGCAAATGCTGGACACATTGAACGCGTCACGCCGTATACATATTTCTCCAAGTTCAAGTCAGTCGATAGCACGTGACACTTTTTTTTAAAAAAAAAACGCCTAGGTGAGTTTCACATGCGCATACGCGTTTAGGCATTATGTTAAATGATTTATGTTACTCATGAACGTCGAACTGCGGTGATTTTCGATATGTTTAGATTTTTACTGTCAAAGGTAGAATGGTGATATCATGTGCACAATTACAGTAAATTAATATCATACAATATATGTTTTGTTAAATACTGGCGCACCGACCAAACAATCCCGAATATGTTGATGAACTACAGTATCTCGTATATACACGAACAACGCCATCTCATTGTTAAATAACGTTGAATAACTCCGCCAATTTTGAAATTCCCCATTTGGTACTCGAATTTCTGATGCTCATAATGGAAAATCGGTTATGACCTGCATATAGCACGACACGGGACAATCAATGATTTGGAATCTATTGTTCAATAATCTAAAAAAAAATCATTATTTTTATCTTTCCTCCCCGTAAAACAAACACCGAGAATGATTTTAGGCATAGGCACGGATCTGGTTCACTTGCCACGCATACGCACACTAATAGCGCGAAAACCTTTTCAGCTCACTAGATTTGTCAAGCGAATTTTCGATTCGGAGGAGATCAACGAATT